ACACTGCTAAATTAGAGACGGCTAGCGCAGATAGCCCTCGTGTAGCTTTGCGCGAAATTCAAAAACAAACAATCCTTCTGCATAGACTCGTAAATATTTTCTTTCCTACACACTGACAAAAACTTCACAACATATTCTTCAATTATGTCAGAAAAATAATCCACATTAGTGGGGAAGTGTTAAGAATATTAATTTTTGCTACTATGCTTTTTTATGTTTGTTTCTTATAAATTAGGCTTGTACGTCAAAAACATTTAAACAAATGCGAGCCAGTAAAGTTTTATAACCATTGATTTACACAAGTACAAAAAAACACAACCTTCATACATCAAATCACAAATCAAAATACAAAAGTTATGCTAAAATCAGTGAAATATGACGGTCCTTTACATTAAACGAACAGTTCAAAACAAAATACACCCTTCAACTGAAAATGCCCCCAGTGGCACAGCAGCATGTCTGCCGTGATGGGCAGAGCACAGACATCCTCTTGTGTAGCTTTGTGCTTAATTACAAACAAGCAATCAAACAATCAATTGAAAATTACAAAATAAGCAACTTGGCATCAAATAAAAATTACAGCATTAAACAAATCATTTTCATAAAATCAAAATATAAAAGAAAAACTTGGTCTCTCTCTCAGTTTGTCACAGGTGACATCAACACATTCAATCTCATATTCACCAAACCGCATACCATCATGGCAGTTCTCCGTCGTCCATGCCTTCTGTGCATTGAGGTTATACTTAGGTGCACCGGAGTCTGGAAATTCTCCTTCTTAGGTTTGTGGCCACAGCAGGAAAGAAATTATGGACCTTTTCAACATCAGCAAACATTCGATATCTACGAGAGGACTTCTATACCAGAAAAACTCTTTCAGACAATCATCACTCCTCAGTGCTTAACCATTCCTTCTGGTTATAAGTTCTTCAACTTGTGTATAATACATTTTCCTCAAATGCAAAACTTCAACTCAATAATGCAAGCATTCAAAACAATGCAAGCTAATACACTTGTCAGGAGAAAACAGAAACACCACAAAAACAAATTCTGTGGTCACGAAGGTTCTCTTTCCTATTTATTCAATGGTATTCTCAGGTTCACTGATTTCCCTTAGAGTAATGGGATAGAAAATGTAAAATAACAGGGACTAACTAGAAAATGTTTTGTGTAGCAAAAACCTAACTCTTTGAACTCATCTGAATTTGAAGCAAAGACACAAGCTAGGCAGAATGAAACAATCTTACTCACACAAAAACAATAAAAGTTTAAAAACAAGTGTAATTTTTGGGCACTTTTGCTGGAGAAGTAGCACATCAGTCTCTACGTGAAAATTAACCAATCTGTTGAACCTTGAATCTCATATCTCAATTTAAATCTTGATTCATTCTATCTCAATACGTACTAGGTTGAGAAAAAAAATACCATAATATATGAAAAAGAACAATGCTCTTCTCAGAGCACAAGCAATATCCATGTAAGGGATGGTAACTTTCGCTATAGAATAAAGGATGTTGTATTCTGGAAGTATTATCTGACTAGCCAGTGGAAAAGATCAGTGTCTATTTCTATACAGTATGTTGTACTTTATGAGAATATTTTCCACGAGAAAGTGTATGTGACACCCTAGTTGAATGATCAAGTTTTAATAAGTTACTAGAGTGAGACCAACTTAGTGGCTCTTTTGACTGATATTCTATATCAAGAATAGATACCAAATATATAGAGTAATTTTGATTTTTTATATTAGATAAGGGGTGGAAAACTTGTAGTATACCGTTTTAAACCCCTTCATCCTGTAATAATTTTAGTATTCCTCCTCTGATACCTTTTCAATTAGCCAATATCCTTTCTCAGATAATGGGACCTGAACTACATCTTCACAGTATTCCAAGTGAGGCATACCTAGAGGTATGTACAGAGAAATAACTACCCTATTAACTTCTAAACAATATGTATATTAATACACCATAAACTTCCATTAACTTTTCTACCAGGAACAGGACATTTCTTCAATGGTTTGAATGATTTCTTCACAATTACGCCGTGGATTAAGTTTCCATCTACAGTAAACGGGTAATACAAATCATGATAACCCAAAGTCATTACTCCAAAGTTAAAGGCCATTTTACATATATATGTCCAAATTATCAATTGATCATAATCATTCTGTAAATCTTTAAAATACACAATACAGCTAGGAATACCTGATATTTAATGTTCTCAGCAAACTTTAGTATTAGGCCATCAATAATAAAAGCAAAGGCCAGACAGTGACTCTTGAGGCACTCCACCAGTAACAAGGGTCCAATTTGAATACACTTCATTAATAATAATTTTTGCTTTCTCCCATCCAACCACGCTACAGTACAAAAACTTGTTTTCCCAGCACCAAGTCATCATCCAGATAAAATATAACAAATTAGTAAGGCAAGATTTCCTTGTATAGAGGATTGTGGATTGGCAAAAAACGAGGATCCCCAAGTTAATGGTAAAACTGGAGGCAAAGTTTAAGACATTCCTTAGAGTTGTTCAGATGAATTCTCTAATTCTAACTTTAAGAAAGTCTTCTTAAGTTTCCAGATGTTATGGTCTTGCCGAATGGGCACATATGTCATTTCGGAGGCTGTGGGTCTCACAACTACCTCTTATGGGACTATTTGGGAAAACTTTGGTTTTCAGTCCTCTCTTTTAGTTTTGATGGTATGGTGGAATCAGCTGCCTGAGCTGTGTAGCAAACAGTTTTAGTTCCCGGGGTGGATAGTAAAAATCCCTGCATCAGTTCATAGAGTTGAGGATTTGTCAGCATGGAGGAATTGTAAAAAGTATTCTAGGCTCCTAGAACTTCAGGGTAAGCCATTAGTAACTTCTGACAAAACCAACCAACATGCTAGAGGACTTTTCTAGCAGAAAGTCCACACCCATAAGTGTTATATATGTGATTACGAGGCTCATTCCCGAGTTTTGGGTCACATTTGGATAATCCACAAAGTCATTAAACAGAATGCAGTTTTCCATTATTAGAGAATTAGAGGACACATCCAGCAAGCCAGTGAATAGGAACAACTTCTGGTAGTTTGAAAATGCTTGATCATCTTTATTTGTGATTGGTTAGAAGTTTAGTTTTCAGAGTAGTAAAGACCCAATATGGTGTATATTGTCCATAGAAAATGCCCCCTCTGCAGCTGTGAACGTCCTAGTCTACTGGTCTTCATCTGAAATACATGCTTAACCAACTTGTAGCTATCCACCCCACTGCACCATTAACAAAAGGTCTACAACCGAATATAGTTATTTCTCACATGTAAATGAGTCTTCCACCATTAGTTGGTTATTATGGAAAAAGAGGCCTGTTCCAATAGGAAAGGAGATGAAACTATAAGTAATGTATTACACAAGTAGACCAAAACTATGCAAATACTTTCTTCTAACTCCTGATCATGAAATGCCATTAACACAAACATATTGATTTCCTTCAACTTCGTC